TCTCTGTCTCTCCCTCTCTCTCTGCCTCTCCCCCACTCACATGCACACACTTTTTCTCTCTCAAAAATAAATAAATACACTTAAAAAAAGAAGCATCTGAGTAGGATGGAAGAAATGGGACCCCCAAGTGAAAGGAAAGGATACAAAATGTGATAATATAATGGAAGCAGCATGGAATTTAGAATCCGAAATCCAGGATTCAAGTCCTATTATTTACCTCTGTGAAAACATTAAAAACTCACTTTGACTTCCTGCCCCCCTAATAAACACACATGGGAACACTCCTCCCTCTTTGCTTTTGTGTCTGGGGTTATGGACAACGGCACAATTCAGTCATTCAGCAGACATTTACCGAGTGCCTGCACCGAGCACTGTACTAGGTACTAGAGAAATAATGATGAGGCAAAAGCTAGAACTTTATTATAGAAGTAGAATATTGAGCAGGGAGCTGAATGAGCAGGCTTTAGCAATGGGTTAGAAGAGGATACATGACTGACATTTTTCAGGAATTACTCTGGGTTAGGCTTGAAATAAAAGGATTTGGCGGTGCCATTCTCTGAAATGGTGACTAGGGGAGGAAGGGCGTAGCTATATGTGGGTTCTCTGGTTGCAAACAACAAATGGCCAGAATTAAGCAATAAAGAACATGGGGGGCGGGGGGCGGCGCCGGGGTGGCTCAGCTGGCTAAGTGTCTGACTTCGGCTCAGGTCATGATCTCACGGTTCGTGGGTTCGAGCCCAGCATCAGGCTCTGTGCTGACAGCTCAGCTGGGAGCCTGCTTCGGATTCTGTGTCTCCCTCTCTCTCTGCCCCACCCCTTCCTATGCTCTATCTCTCTCAAAAATAAACATTAAAAAAACCACAAAACCATGTTGAAGGGATATCAGGCAGCTCACAGAAAGGAAAGAACAGGAAAGGACAAGAGCCAGCCCACGGATGTCTGTAGCAGGAATGTGTGGACTGTCCTCTAGGCAGGACTCAGGCAAGACCACTGAGTCCTTTCCAGACTCAGACTGCCTGGAGAAAGAATCTGGCCCAGTATATGGAGAGGCAGGTTAGTGTCTGCGATGAGAGGGTGACCAGCTTGGGGGGGTAGGAGGGGAACGATGAGGTGGTGGTAAAGAAAGTGAGTTACAAAGAAGCACAAGGAAGCTTTTAGAGCGATGGAAACATTCAGAGTCGTGATCATTTAATGAGTATGTACACGTGTCAGAACTGATCAAATTGTACACTTTCTGTGTGGTTTATTGGGTGTGCCATACAACCCCTGTCTACAAGGAGCTTGAGAACTTGCACGACTTTCCAGTGTGTTAGGGAGCTGGAAATAAATGTTTGTATTTAGGATTATCCTGCTAGTAGTATTTAAAAGCCTTCAAAAGGTCTCTGCTGCCAAAATGGAGCCAAGGTTGCATGCCGCCCTATAAAAGCCCTACTGCCTGTATTTTAATTCCTCTCCTATGCGGCATCCCATTCCCAAGGCACTTAGAATCACAGCTCGGAGCGATACTCCAAGGCTACTGGCCGGGGTGATGCTGGGACCACAGACCCTTAGCTGTCCAAGCCCTTCTATGACCTGCTTGGAATTACCCCTCCCACATTCATCTGGCAAAATCCAAATCAAGTCTCTTCTCTGCAAGGCTTTGAAAACCTAGGAAAGGGGTGTGCCAGAGAGGACTTCTAGGGACCTACAGTCTGATGGGGGGGTTGGGGGCAAGCACCCAAAGTTACTGCTACCACAGAGGCAGTACTGAAGGGGAGACCTTTACTAAATTGTGAAATTGACACTTCACCTGCATATGGCCCTATAGGAGGTTCCCAGAAGACAGGGGAAAGGGCCGCGATGCTGGGCAAAATGAAGAATTTTGCTTCTTTAGGGTAGATAATCCCAGCTAGAAAGCAAATTGTTTACCCTGATGTACAAAGTGGTAAAGTTGTCCAGGGGAAAGGCTAGGATTTAGAAGACTGCTGGCCGGGCCGCCGCACAAGAAGAGGCTAGAAGCCAATACCTGGAGCAGATGAGTATCTCTCATTCCCTGCCCTGAGGTCCCTGAGGTCTGTTGACAAAAGGACTGCGGCTCCAGTTTCTGGAGTTTAGCATTTAATCCTTGGAGGACACCGGTAGCTCACCACCAGAGAGGCTCCATTCTTCATCTATCTGTGTGCATCTCTGTATAAAATTAATTGCAAGAACATCACCCAGTCCCTGCCTTCCAGTCATGTGAAGGACAATATTGACAAACTAGGTGACATATCTAGCAAATACTGGAAACATGACATATCCAGGATATACAGGCTATACCGAAGAACAGAATACACCTGCTGCTTACGGTATTGCTATTTTATGCTCAATTAGGTGCTGAGCATGTGCATGTTGGACCTTCTTTTCTCCACGTTTATGCTTTTAAAATGAATGGTATGTGCTGACAGGGATAAAATCATGTACCTGCAAACCTTTTGAGGTTACAGAGCACTAGTGGCGGAGGGGCAGAGAGAGAGGGAGACACAGAATCTGAGGCAGGCCCCAGGCTCTGAGCTGTCAGCACAGAGACTGACGCAGAACTTGAACCCACAAATTGTAAGATGATGACCTGAGCTAATGTTGGATGCTTAACCAACTGAGCCACCGAGGCACCCCTTGAGGTTACATTTAAAAGAGAAAAAAGATACTTGTGAGTGATTAACCATCAAATTGTGAAAGTAGCACAAGTATCAGCAAATAAAACAAATTATCAGTAGAGTCAGTTGGGCTGGCTGGCCTCTGAGAGTCTGTGGTCCTGGCAATCTTCATTACATAATGGAATATGCTATGGGGGATACTAATGAGATTTTTTTAAAAAAAATCTCAACCTTTCCTGGAATTCATGGTCACCTTGTCAGTAAATACAAGCATTTGTCCACCTTTGGAACTTAAGCTTTAGGATTTGAATTTTGTCTTCTCTTAGATATTATCTTTTATCTGAGGACTTGCCAGGCTGCCCTTTCTAGTAACTTATATTGATCTTTAAAAAAAAAAAAAAAAAGTTGTTAATGTTTAATTATTTGAGAGAGAGACAGGGTATGAGTGAGAGAGGAGTAGACATAGAGAGGGAGACAGAATCGAAAGCAGGTTCCAGGCTCTGAGCTGTCAGCACAGAGCCCGACGTGGGGCTTGAACTCATGAACATTGAGATCATGACCTGAGCCTGCCGGATGCCCACCGGATGCTTAACCCGACTGAGCCCCCCAAGGTGCCCTGTAACTATGTACATCTTGCTTCCATGTTACTTTCTTTGCCTTTCTTGGCTGGATTGGTAATGTTCCCACACATGGGCTTTCTTCTTCCTCACTGATACCTACTGTGCCTTTAAAAATATATTTAAATATGGGGCACCTGGGTGGCTTAGTCGGTTAAGCGTCCGACTTTCACCTAGGTCATGATCTCGCGGTTCGTGGGTTCGAGCCCCATGTCGGGCTCTGTGCTGACTGCCAGCTCAGAGCCTGGAGCCTGTTTCAGTCTGTGACTCCCTCTCTCTCTGACCCTCCCCTGCTCATGCTATCTCTCTCTCTCTCTCTCTCCTAGAAAAGAAAAAAAAACATTTAAAAATATATTTAAATAAAATGAATTTCATCAGCTTCCTCCCCCCTCTGGTTTTTACCAACCAAATAATGTCTTTAGAAATGTAAGCAACTACCCTTGCTTATTTGTGTCTTTTGCTTTTTTTCTCACACTATGCCTCTATTCTCTGAGACTTTCTCCCTTAGTCTTTGTTCCTCAAATGAATATGCACAAGACGTGTCCCTCTATCAGTCTATATAAATATTGATTTGCAAAACTAGAGAACTCCTCACCGGAATAAGAAGGAAGCAAGGAAGTCTGTATCATTGGAATGGAAGGTGTAAGAACCACTTGAGTTCTAAGCCTAAGTAAGAAGTCGATATAAAAAATGGCTAGCATTTATTGAGCACTTACTGTGTGCCAGGTAACGTTCTAATGCTTTAGATGTATTGACTCATTTCATCCACCACCACCACCACCACCACCACCACCCCCCCACCCCCGGAGTAACTCCATGAAAGAGGTACTGCCCTAGATGGAGAACTGAAACCAATGTCCAAGATCACACAGCAGATAGGATGGCAGAGCCTGTGTTTATAGTATTACATCCTTAGTCACCGAATTCATGAATTTGGGAACACTTCCTGCCACAGAGAAGTGAGTCAAGATGGCTTAGGTGTGGCATTGATTTAACAGGTTGAGATTTTTACCAGGTGCTAGAAGCGTGGCCAGGAAATGGCTTCATTTCAGGGATGAGGGAACAGATTTTAGAGATGTTAAGGAATTCGCCCAAAAGTCATACGGCTAAGAAGCCGCGGAGCTGGACTGTTTGAATCCAAAGTCCATAACGCTCTTAAACGTCTATACTACTAACAGCCTCGGAAGAATGGCAGAGGAGGAAGATCCGGATGGGGCTCCGCTTCCCTCCCCACGGAGCCTCCCTGCTTCTCGGCCGCGGGAAGCTCCAGGCTTCTGGACACGGACCTATTTACGTAAATGATATGCAAACGCAAGTAAATGTAACTTTCCGCATTTGCTGGGAGTTCAAATTACGTCGATCGGGGGAAAGCGGACAGATCCCAGTGATCCCAGTTCCGACCCCACGCCGTCTGGAGCTTCGGGGCGAGGGAGGAAGCGGCTCCGGATGGAGAGTAAAGTGACAATCGGACGAGGAAAAGCAGCCTTTCCTCCCGGGGGAGCAGAGGCGGCCGGGCGGGCAGAGGGAACCTGCAGAGGGCGGTTTCTCTCCTCTTTTCCTGTCCCACCCAGTCGGCCGGCCCCCCCACCCCCAGTCCCCGCCGGCCTCCGCAGCTCGCTGCGCGCCGGGTCCGCGGCTTCCTCCGGCTCTGTGTCCGTCGGCGGTTCTCCGCGAATCTCCGCCGTTCCCGCCCCTCGGAGAGTTCAAAAGGACGCGCGGAGTGGCGCCGGGCCCTTCCGCGGCAGCCCGTCCGACTGGTAAGGTGAGCACGCGGAGGAGGGCACCTGGGGAGGCAGAGAGGGAGCGCCGGCCGAACCCGGGGGCCGCAAGCACACCGCAGTCGCCTCGGCCGCGGGAGCGACGCCAGCCCAGAGCGACCCGAGCCGCCCGCCCCGGACGGACGGTCCCACGCGCCGCGGGCCGCCCCGGGAGCCGTGTGCCGGTAACGCTGGAGGGCCGGGGCCGGGGCGGGGCCGGGGCCGAGTCGCCGGGTCCACGCTGCGCCAGCCCCGACGCCCGCGCCGGGCGCCGAGTCCCGGGCCGGGCCGAGTGGGGCTCGGCGCTAGTGGCCGGCGGGCGGGGTTCGGCAGGGGCCGCGCAGACGGCGCAGCGGACGGGGAAGGGACGACTTGAGGGGAGGGGGCCAGGGCCCGACGGCGGCTGGTCGGGGACAGGCCCGAAGGCGACCGAGGCCCCTCACCTCCAAGCTCCTGTGCCTGGCTCCCCGCTCCCAGGCCCTGGCCCTGCCCCCCCCCACCCCCTCCCCACGCGGGCCCGGGAGCCGGTGAGTCGTGCCCTCCCGGCCCTCTCCTGACCCCTAGTGGACGGCTGAGCGCAGGCTCCAGGCTCGGGGAGCTCAGAGTACCTGTGCCCGAGGCTTGGTGAAACTGGGTGCGCTGCTAATTTGCATACTGTCGCCTAACTTTCTCAGGCCGGGAGAGATCCCTTAGGTAAATGTGGTGGCCCGGTGAAAGGATCTCGGGGTGGTACTTTCAGAGTCAGCGTACACCAGGTCCCAAAGGTCTCGGCTCTGCTCTTGGCACCTGCAGCCTGAAGAGATACTCAGGGAAACCCAAAGAGAAGGGTTTAGGACTAGCCCCAGGAGGGAAGGGTCCCACAAAAACGTGGCCCCAAAGGCTCTCCAGCCCCAGGTAGAGGCCCCTCCACCTCATGCCTGTGTTTGTCCTTCTCCCCACAGATCTGCTCTCTCTCCACTTGCTGCAATGGCTAGCCTGCTAACCACGCCTTCTCCAGAAGGTAGGTGAAGGCCTTTCCCAATACTAATGATAGAGACGCAATCGCCATTCTCCCACCCCCAGCCCAGGCCTGGAATTCCCTGAGGCCTCAGCCCAGATCCCCCGGGCTCACCTCAAAAGGTCCTGGAAGGCCCAGAGGGCAACCAGAATGCTTACTTTGGTGCAGTTTGAGTAATCTGAAATCACATGGACTTGGGCTGGTTGCCGACACTGCCACTTAAAAGTTTGTGACCTTGGATGAGTGATCTACCCTCAGAGTTCCAGTTTTCTCATCTGTAAAATGAGGGAAATAGTGCCTATCTTATGAGGCTATTCTGAAATAGCCCATATAAAACACCCAGCACCAGTGTCTCATATCTAGTAAGGACTCAGTAACATTGGTAACAAACAAGTGCTTGTTAGAGGCCAGCGTTTTCCTGGAAAGGAATTCTGCCTGCCTTTTTTTTTTTTTAATGTTTGTTTATTTTTGAGAGAGAGAACGGGGGAGGAGCAGAGAGAGGGAGACAGTGCAAGCAGGCTCTGCACTGTTAGCATAGAGCCCCATTTGGGGCTCAGACTCACGGATGGTGAAATCATGACCTGAGCCGAAGTGGGACGCTTCACCGACTAAGCCACACAGGTGCCCCTGCCCACGTTTTCACTCCACTCCTCTGATGCTACATTCCAGCATCAAAACCCATCGTTTCCTGGAGCTGTGCTCAGGCAGGAATCGATCTCTCCTTCCTCTGAGAACAGATTCCCGCCTTTTATTCAGTAATCAAGCTGAGCCAGACAAACAATCAGATAGTCACGGATTGTTTCCGTTGTGTACCAGTTAGGGGAGGGGAGGAAAAACACCTTGGTTGGTCTACACACCTTTGTCTTCGTGGACACAGCCTCATTTGTCATTAGAACAGGCATTATCTACTATACTGATATGGAAACGGGTGAGTGACAACCCCAGGGAAATCTAAGACAGTGTCCTCTGTAACTGGTGATGCACGCTTTTCAGAATGTACATTGTCCGGTGAGAGCTGAGGAAAGGGAGAAGTGGCTAGAAGCCTAGATTGGTCAGCAAAGGCTTCATGAGCACGGAATGGGCTGGAGCTTGAAGAATAGATGAGGTGTGTGCACATCAGGAGGGGAGGGGTGCAGGGGTGTTCTAGATCAGGTTAGTGCCATGTGTGAATCCACAGAGACCATATGTGTCCTAGAGGAGAGGGCAGAGGACCTCGAGAATAAACCTACCTGTAGGGAAAAGAGGTGATGTTTGGGCAGCTAACCCAGGAATTAGGACTTAGGCAAATCCTTTTCTTTCTCCTTTCTATTTGTGGTAAAATATACATATTATAAATATTATGATTTTAGCTATGTGTTGGTAGCTCAGTGGTGTTAAATACTGATGAACATTCACACTGTTGTGCAATCATTACCGCCTGTCTCCACACTGAAACTGTGTATGGATTAAACAACAACTCCCCATTGCCCCACCCTCCAGCTCTTTTTTTTTTTTTTAGTTTATTGTAAAGTTGGTTTCCATATAACACCCAGTGCTCATCCCCACAAGTGCCCTCCTCCACGCCCATCTCCCCCCTCCCCCCTCACACCCATCAGTCCTCAGTTTGTTCTCAGCATTCAAGAGTCTCTCATGGTTTGCCTCCCTCCCTCTCCCCCACCATTTCCCCCCTTCTTCTCCCCCTTGGTCCTCCGTTAAGTTCCTCCTAATCCTCCTATACGTGCAAACATATGGTATCTGTTCTTCTCTGCCTGACTTATTTCGCTCAGCATAACACCCTCAAGGTCCATCCATGTTGCTACACATGGCCAGATTTCATTCTTTCTCACTGCCATGTAGTATTCCATGGTATAGATAAGCCACATCTTCTTGATCCATTCGTCTGTTGATGGACACTTAGGCTCTTTCCATGTCTTGGCTATTGTGGAGAGTGCTGCTATGAACATTGGGGTACATGTGCTCCTATGCATCAGCACTCCTGTATCCCTTGGGTAAATTCCTAGCAGTGCTATTGGTGGGTCATAGGGGAGTTCTATTGTTAGTTTTTTGAGGAACCTCCATACTGTCTTCCGGAGGGGCTGCACCAGTTTGCATTCCCACCAACAGTGTAGGAGGGATCCCACCCTCCAGCTCTTAATGACCGGCAATATACTTCCTATCTGTATAAATTTGACTAGGTGCCTCATATAAGTGGAGTCACACAATATTTGTCCTTTTCTGTCTGGCTGTTTTCACTTAACATCTCTAGGGTTCATCCACATTGGATCATGTGTCAGAATCTCTTTCCTTTTTGAGGCTGAATGATATCACACATACATCATTATATACATGTATGTATATATATGTGACACATCATTTTCTGTATCCATTCACCCATCAATAGATTGCTCTCACCTTTTGGCTATTGTGAATAAGGCTGCTATGAATATGAATAACTTCTTGAGTACCTGCTTTCAGTTCTTTTGGGTATACTCCCAGTAGTGGAATTGCCGGATCATGTGGTGATTCTATTTAATTTTTTGGGAACCGCCAAAAAGTTTACCATAGCAGCTGCACCATTTTCACTCCCACCAGCAATGAACAAAGATTCCAATTTATCTGCATCCTTTTTTTTTTAATTTTTAATGTTTATTTATTTTTGAGAAAGAGAGACAGTGTGTGAGTGAGGGAGGGGCAGAGAGAGAGGGACACACAGAATCTGAAGCAGGCTCCAGACTCTGAGCTGTAAGCACAGAACTCAACGCAGGGCTCAAACTCATGAACCACAAGATCATGACCCGGGCTGAAGTCTGACGCTTAACTACCTGAGCCACCCAGGTGCCCCTATTTGCATCCTTAACAGCACTCATTCTTTTCTTTTCTCTTTCTTTCTTTCTGTCTTTTCTTTCCTTTTTTTTTGTTAGTAGCCATCCAAATGGGTGTGAGGTGCTATCTCTTTGTGGTCTTAATTTACATCTCCTAATGATTAGTGATGTTGAGCATCTTTTCATGTGCCATCTGCATATCTTCCTCTTTTTTTTTTTTTTGCATATCTCCTTTACATATATGTCTATTCAACTCCTTGCCCATTTTTTTAAATGTTTTTTAACGTTTATTTTATTTTTGAGAGAGAGAAACAGAGTGCGAGCAGGAGAGGGGCAGAGAGAGAGAGAGACACAGAATCTGAAGCAGGCTCTAGGCTCTGAGCTGTCAGCACAGAGCCTGACGCGGGGCTAGAACTCACAGACTGCGAGATCATGACCTGAACTGAAGTTGGATGCTTAACCGACTGAGCCATCCACACATCCCAAGTCCTTGCCCATTTTTTAATTGGCTAGTTTTGCTGTTGTGTTGAGTTTTATGTGTATATTCTTGACCCAACGAATGAGATGAATGAAGTGGTATTTTGGGACATATCATATAGTCCCCCACCCACAGGGTTCAGCAAGCATAAGTTCCTTGACAGGGCTTGTACTTTGAAGGATGGGATCATTGAGTCTAGTATGTGTCTTCCCCAGCTCCCCACCTATGCCACCTCACATCCCTTTTCCCCAGTCTGTAAAGACCTCCTAAAGGAGATCCTTTGGGAGTGTTAAAAGTGAGGGCCCTTTATGGCTTTCATGGGCCCTTGGCACTTTTGCCTTTCTGAGTCCATTCCTCCATAAAAGAAAATATATATATATATATATGTATTTATATTTATATATAATTGTATTTTTTAAGCTTGCATAGTGGCAGTATCATAGCCAGCAATACGATATCCAAGGTGTGATTATTGTGAATTGAAAAATTATACTTTACGACCATGTTGGCACAAAGAAGAATATAATATTAATATAATGAAACCATTATTTTATATTTATAACTAATAATTGATTGATATAACAATATGACAGTTTCCTTGACCTGACATTCCATTTTTTTCTTCTGATTTGAAAAGAAATTAAAGTCATTACAATTAGAATCCTCAGAAAACGCTTTCACGGGTTCCTAAAGTACTGTGGACCCTAGGTGTGCCTGCTGTGCCCAGCACATAGGCCGCCCTATAGGAAGCAGGATGGAGTGGAATTTGGCATTGTGGGCTCTGCCGCCCCCTGCCCCTCGCCAGGTAAAGCCCGTCTCTTTTGCCACCTAATTACACAGCCACGTCCTATGTTGTCTTCACTCAGAATTAGACCCTCCGCATTTTTCATCTTGCTTATTCCTTATCACAGCCCTGTGAACAGGTTTTATTCTCCTTTTACAGAAGTCAAAACTGACATTCAGGGCAATTAAGAAACGTTCAGCAATTAAATTCTCCCACGGTCATGTGCCTAATAGAGGCCGAGGCAAGATTTTTGTGCCAAGTCTGGTTTACTCTAAAGCCTGTGTGCTTTCTGCCATGGTACACCACTCTCAGAGTCTCACTCCACCCCACTGGCCCGGGCACATGAAAGAGAAGGAAGGAGAAAGGGAGCCGAATTCCAGGGCGGGTTCCCATGGAAAGGAGAATTGGGGGAGCCGCCCTTTGTTGGGCAAGTCTAGAGCAAATAAGTAGGTTGGCAGACTCAGGAGGCAAAGGATCTGATGCCTCAGTGATAAGAGATTTTGCTTGGAAACAGGGGTCACAAAGAAACCAACAGGTATCTGGGTTAACAAGAACCAGAAAAAGGGTAAGTAGGGAAAATAGATCTTGAAGTTCATTTGCTATTGTTTAGGATTTGGGTGGCGCCTCAAATCTCATTGTGGTCCCGCACCCCACACCTCCCATCTGAAAGAAAAATGGTGTTACTGTCCTTCCATGTCTGAAAAGGGAAAGAAGAGAGTAACATTATTGTTTCTCTATTTGGACAGGGAGCAGGAGAGAAATGGGGTAGCAACAGGAGAAAATGGGGGGAAAATGATAAGCCATTTACCCCCTTTTATGCCAGGCTTCCTGAACTTAAGTTTACTTGGTTGTTGTTTCTTTACTTGGTTGTTTAATTTTTTTAAACGTTTGTTCATTTTTGAGAGACAGAGAGAGACGGAGCACAAGCAGGGGAGGGGCA